AAAAAAAAAAAAAAAGAAAGAAAAATTTAAATGTATAGTTGGTACTGGGTAAAAATAATACTAATTTGGGAAATAAATTGAATGCATAGAATTTTAACTCTAGAATGAGCATACTTACACAAAAGATAATTGTGTGAAAAAAGGAAAAACCTGGGCTTGGCCCCATTGTCATTTAGTTTAAAGAATCTTTTGATTTCTGTCTTTATCTCTTCCTTGATCCCAACTATCATTCAGCAATAAGTTGTTCAGATTCCATGACCTTTTGTGGAGATGAGTCTTTCTATTGGAATTGATTTCTAGTTTTATTACACTATGGTCTGTAAAGATACATGGTATAATTTCTATTTTTTCTTAATTTATTGAGACTTGTTTTGTGGCCTAGGATATGATCAATCTTGGAGAATGATCCATTAGCTGATGAGAACAATGTACCGTGTTACCCCAAAAATAAGACCTACCCAAAAAATAAGCCCTAGCAGGATTTCTATGTTTTTTTTAAATATAAGCCCTACCCCAATAATAAGACCTAGTGATAGGCATTTCGGCAGGGAGTGTTAAGGAAGACTGGAATACCTTTTATCTGCCACAGCTCCCTTCTCCAAGCCATTCACACTTGCGTGGGTACATGTGTGGTAACCCCAGTTGCAGGCATCCTATTGCCCACATGTGAACGGCTAGGGGAAAGGAGTTCACACATCACTAGCACCAGCCTCACCAACAAGGTCGGCTCCATCTGTCAAGTTCCAGAAGAAGATGACTTAACTGTATTTGAATAAATGTAGATTGTTATATTATACTTAATAAAAATAAGACATCCCCTGAAAATAAGCCCTAGTGTGTCTTCTTGAGAAAAAATAAATATAAGACAGTGTCTTATTTTGGGGGAAACATGGTACATTCAGTTGTATTGGGGTGGAATATTCTGTAAAATCTGTTAGACACATTTTTTCTAGAGTCACATTTAAATCCAAAATGTCTTTGTTCAATGTCTGCTTGGAGGATCTGTCCAGTTCTGTCAGTGGAGTGTTGAAGTTCCAGGCTATTACATTTATCATTTTGTTTAGGTCAAGACAAATTTGCTTTACAAATCTGGGCGCACCTAAGTTGGGTACATAAAAATTTAGGATTAATATGTTGAATTGTTCACTTGACCAATAAGTAATGCCCATCCTTCTCTTTTTTTTTTTTTT